CGGGCGATGTGCTCCCGTCCTGCGCGGTGCCCTTGTATAGTGCTCGCCACAGCGCCAACACCACGACAGGTTCCATGAAACACTGGCCTGACAGCATGTGCAGGTCCAGCTGCAGGCCTTGCTCGGGCCGCGAGAGCGCCAGGACTGTCCCCACGCCATCGTGAGAGAAATGAAACGGGAATTGTGACCCTGCGGGTGCCTGCTCTCCGAGCAGGAGAGAGAAAGAAGAAAGGCCCAAGGTTGCGCCAACCACCTTGAGCCCAAATGACTTGAGCCAGGCTACGGAGCCTCCTCCTCCTCTTCCACCTCCTCATCCGCCTCCTCTTGATCTTACCCGCCATCCTCCCCCAAATGTTCCCCGAAGGGTTTCCACAACTGTTGGGGGAACACATGGCCCGATATCTTGGCAGAGCTTTTGCCACAACGCTCGGCCACATGGGCAATTCTCGAAGGCGGGGAGCGGCGGTGATTCGCCGTAGGCGACTTAGATAGGAGGAGGGATAAGAGCAGGAACAGGAGGAAATCCCACCAGCCCTCTGGGCGTAGGTGGTTCCAGGAGTTTCCTCTTCCATCTTCCCTTCTTCCCCTTCGGGGAGGGGTTAACCCCTCCCCCTAACCCCCTCCCCTGGACTTGGACGGGGGGGGCCGCTGGTAGTTAGAGCGTCCAAAACGGCCTCGGCGAGGAAGCCAAAATCATAGGTTTTACTAGGGTTTGGGCCCCATTTTGGCCTCTTGGGGGGGGCAGGGCTAATTAACCCCACCCTCTTCTTTGATCGATCTCCTCCAAGATGGCCCCAAGAGGCGCCTAGGAGGCCCCAAGAGGCTTCCAGAAGGCCTCCAAGAGGCCCCAAGAGGCTCCAAGAGGCTCCCAGGATGGTTCCAAGAGGCCTCCAAGAGGCTCCAAGAGGCCGCCATGAAGCTCCAAGAGACCCCCAAGAGGCCCCAAGAGGCCTCCAACAGGCCCCAAGAGCCCCCCAAGAGGATCCCAAGCGGCCTCAAGAGGCCCCCCCGAAGCACCCAAGACGCCCAAGAGCCCCCATTGACCGCCAAGAGACCCCCAAGACGTCCGAAGAGGCTTCCAAAAGGCTTCCAAGAGACATCCGAGCGGCATTCAACCATCCACCCAGCGTCATCATTCTCCTCATCCCTCCTTCGCTCGGTTCCTCGCCGCCCCCTCATCTATCCATCTGGCCTCCTCTTCCGCCTCATCCTTTGCACGGATCGGCTGTCCCTCTCGTTGCTCCCCCACTTCCCTGATCTCTTCAACTTGCCTGGGCATCGTTTCTGGATGGGCTGGTGGGGACACGCGAAGCGTCAAGTTGGAAACTGTTTGGTGGTGGACTCGGCCCTCTGACGCCCATGTATCCAGCATCTGTTCGTGGCCGGACGACACGAAAGCATCACACTGCACCCAAGGGCCGTCAAATGCAGCTAGATGTTCTGAAGCTTCAGCGACTCTCGGGCGCACTCCCAGAACGGCCCCGGGAGCCCAAGTCCAGGGAACCCTGGGCACGACCCTGGCCAGGCCTTGCAAAGGGACCGCGAGCAAGAACTCCGACCCTCCTGAGAGGAGAGGGAAGAAGAAGGGGCTACCAGGACGCAATCCAGGAGCTCACTAGAGACAAGCTCTCCTAGCTCCCCACCCCCCAGTCCCCCAAAAGAACTTGGAGGTGGCCATTGAGGATTTTCCAAAAAGATCTCCTGAGCGCGCGAGGATCAGGACCGCGGATCGCAATCACTCACTCGCGAAAGTGGAATACGGGAGGGATGCCGATAATTCTCGACCTTTTGGGGCCTCCAGAGGCTTCTGCAGAATTCCGAACAACTCTGGGTACCTCCAGACAGACCTCCAGGGGGGAAAAGAGGTATCCTCTTCCTCTTCCTCCTCAACGCCACGACCTCCATCATCGACACTGCCATCGCCATCATCAAAATCATCATCATCAGCACCGACATCGACACTACTATACTCGTCGTCTTCGTCTTCATCGTCACCATCGTCACACTCGCCATCATCAGCAGCAGCAGCATCATCACCACCATCACAATTGACGTAATCCTCAATATGATCCTTCTCCTCCTCCTCCTCATCAGCGTCATCATCATCATCATCATCATCATCATCATCATCATCATCATAATCATCAGCATCAGCATCAGCATCAGCATCAGCATCAGCATCAGCATCATCATCATCATCATCATCATTATCATCATTAGCATTATCATCATCATCAGCAGCAGCATCATAATCAGCAGCACAATCCTCATCATCATCGTCGTCGTCCTCATCATCATCATCATCTCACCACCACCACCACCACCATCACCACCACCACCACCCTCATCATCATCAGCTCATCAGCAGCATCAGCATCGCCGTTACCAACAACAGCATCATCAGCATAATCAACATCATCAGCATCAGCATCATCAGCAGCATCATCATCATCATCTGCAGAATCATCATCAGCATCATCATCCGCATCATCATAAACATCGCCATCATCATCATCATCATCAGCAGCAGCAGCATCATCATTCATCAGCATCATCAGCATCATCATCGTCATTATCATCAGCATCATCATCATCATCGTCATCATCAGCAGCATCACCATCACCGTCATCGTCAACGTCGCCATCATCATCATCAGCAGCAGCATCATCACCATCACCATCACCACCACCACCACCACCACCACAATGACCACCACCACAACCATCATCATCATCATCATCATCATCAGCAGCAGCAGCAGCATCATCATAATCATCCTCATGTGTTGTTCATGTCCATGGGTGTTGCGGTTATTATCGCCCAGTCTACACTGGGACCTGCTACCTCACTTGTTCATCAGGGTATCGAACGTCATCATCATCATCATCAGCAGCAGCATCATCATCATCATCAGCATCATCATCATCAGCAGCATCATCATCATCGTCATCGTCATCGGTATCATCATCATCATCATCATCATCATCATCATCATCATCATCATCATCATCATCATCGTCATCATCAGCAGCAGCACAACCACCATAAACATAATCCTTATCATCATCCTGATCAGCGACATTGCCATTGGCATGTGCAAAATCACCACCCCCACCATCATCATCACCAACAACACCGCCATCATCGCCATCATCATCATCGTCGTCATCATCATCATCATCAGCATCATCAGCATCATTATCATCATCCTCTTCATCATCATCATGATCATCAGCATCATCAGTATCAACTTCATCCTCATCCTCATCCTCATCATTATCTCTGTCATCATTAGCATCACCATCATCATCATCATCATCAACAGTATCACCATCGTCTTCAGGATCATCATCATCAGCATCATCATCACCATCATCAGCATCACCATCATCGGGTTTCTCATCGGCATCGTCATCACCTTCATCGTTAATCATCGTTATCATCATGAACACCATCGCCCCACCCAGCATCCTTCTCTCACCCTCCTTCTCCGCCTCCATCTCCTCGGTTGTGGTCCTCCTCCCCCTCTTCCTCAATCCCCTCCTCGTCCTCATCCGACCGCCATATTGCAAGATCATTCCAGGCAGACGCAGTCAGAGAGAAAGAGAGAGAGAGAGAAAGATATATAGAGAGAGAGAGAAATATATATGTATATACACATAGAGAGATATCAAAAAAGAGAGAGAGAGAGAGAGCGATACCTGGTAGCCAACCAACGTGCGAAGTGGGCCCACGCCAGACGGCGGCGGCGGCGGCGATCGAGACGACGGCCGTGTGCTGTCCCCATCTGAGCCAATCCCCAGAAGCCCCTGAAGGTCCGCAAGGGCCCAGAGACGACCCGCCCGCTCTCCTCTTCATTATCACCGCCTGCCACCCTAGCGTCCTCCTCCTCCTCCTCCTGCTCCGCCTGCTCCTCTTCCTCCTCCTCCTCCTACCCCCCCTCCTCTTCATCCTCCTCCTGGTCCTCATCCTCCGCCTCCTCCTCCTCCTCCTCCTTTTGACTATCACCACCATCATCCGCCCCTCTCGCCGGCATGAAGAAAGCGGGCCCCGAGGGGGAAACAGGGAAACGCGTCCTGGACACTCTACGGGCTGTCCCCGGGGCCAGCGTGTCATCCTGCGTAGTTTTCGGACGGCCTCGGGAGCCCGAATTTGGCGGCGCGCACAAGGGGGTGGAGGGAGGGGGAAAAATTCTTGGAAGGAGGCTGCTTCTTAGAGGGCGCCGGCCTTCCATCTATGGCCGCGCCTTCGAAGAAGCAGGGGCGCTTCCAAGAGGCCCTCCCCCGCACCCCCGCCCTCACTCTGCACCTTGCCGAGACGGCCCCGGGAGCCCGAACAACGGCGAAGCCCTTTCTTGGCCGCAGCGGCTCGGCACCGAGCCGCGGTCGGGGCAGCCGAGGCTGCGCAGGAGGGGTTCTGCAGGGCCGAACTGGGGCACAGCAGGAGCGCGAGAGGCGCGTTTGGCGGGAGAGGAGGCCGCGGGCAGCGAAGCACGCTCCGAGCAGGAATTGCTTGTGCTTCTGCGTGCGGCATCGGGCGTTAGCAGCAGTGGGTTTCGTGGGACCTGATGTGTGTGTGTGTGTGATGCGTACCAGAGGACGCCCACCCCGCCCCAGTCCGCTCACTGCAACCGCCGCCACCCGAAAAAACAGAAACAGCTGCGGCAGACCTGGTTTAGCGATTCCGGTCCATGGTTTGGGCTTCGGGGCCCCATCAGTAACCGGCTCCCCTTAACCAAGGTCCTGGCCCATACCCGATAATGAGGCGGCCAGCGGACCAATACCAGCGAAACACCTCAGGAACCGTTTCCCTCAGGACCCGCCTGCCAGGGCTCGAGCTGCACGGTTGGTTTTCTTCCTCGTTTTCTCTTCGTTGTGCTTCGTACTGTCTTCGTTCTGCACTGCACTTACTGCGAAGCGACATCAAAGCGAAAACGGCTCACGACATCGCCAAAACACCGTTGAGCTCGAGCGCTGCCGCCGCCCTGTCCCGCCGGGGCCTCGAACAGCATGGTCGACAGGGCGAAGGCAAACCTCCACACGAGCGGGGGGGGCCGAGGCGCGGCGTGCGGGGCACACGTGCCGGCACCGCGGACGCGGGCGGGCTCCGAGGGGGGGGGGGCGCAAGACGAAGCCAGGACGAAGATAAGATCGGGTGAGGACAGATCGAGAATCTCTGAGATCCGGCGGCTCTGGAGGATGCATCGGGCGCCGTGGCCCTCTCAGAGCGTGCCGGGACGCTCTGAGAGCGTTCCAGGACGCTCTGGAACGGATTAATCCTCGTCCTGGCCTCAGGTCGGGCATATGTCCTCCTACAGGCGCATGTTGGATGAATGGTGAAAACAATCAACGAATACAAAATGGTCAAAACAAAAAACAAAAAAATCGTCACCAGACTATGTTGCTGCTATTCTTGAACATTCCTCCTGGAGAGGGACGTGCCCGACTTTCGCCTAGCCCCGCCCAAGGGCGGGAGCAGACTCATCGGGGGCGGAGATGCTGGACAGGACTGGGCGAAAGTTCACCGCCGACTCCGCTGGGCGGCCCGGTCCCGGGGGCGCCATGAGGAGAGAGAGGAGGAGGAGGAGGAGAAGGAGGAGGAGGAGGAGGAACAACAGAATGGGAGAGGAGTGGGAAGAGAAGCAGGAGGGGGAGGAGGAGGGGGGGACAGGAGGAAGACGAGGGGGGCAGGAGGAAGGAGAGGAGGAGGATAATGAGGAAGAGGGGGAGGCTGACAAAGACGAGGGGGGAAGGAGGAGGGGAAGGAGCAGGAAGAGAAGGAAAAGAGAGAGGAGGAGAGAGGAGGAGAGAGGAGGGAAGAGGACGAGGAGGAGAGGGGAAAGGCAGGACGAGGCGGAGGACGAGGAAGACGAGGGGGAAAGGCGAGGAGGAGGAGGAGGGGGGGCAGGAGGAGGAGGAAGACAAGGAGGGAAGGACGAGGAGGAGGAGGAGGAGCAGGATGAGCAGGAGGAGGGAAAGGAGGAGGAGCAGGAGGAGGACGAGGAGGAGGGGGAAGACGAGGAAGACGACGGGGGAAGGACGAGGAGGATTCGGAGGAAAGAGGCGAAGAGAGGAGGAGGGAGGAGGAGGAGGAGGAGAAGAAGAGGAGGAGGAGGAGGCACCAGTCCGTGAAGCAGCGTGTGAATCGAACACTTGCCGATAAAATCATATTGGCTCAAGCCATTGTGGCTCAAGGATTCTTGCTCAAGGGATGTTGCTCAAGGCAGGCCGAGCCCGTCTTCTTCTCCGTCCTCCTCCCCCCCTCTTCCGTCGCGGCCCTGCCGGTGCGCGGCCCTCAGCGCTGCCTGCACGTGTGCGCCGAGGACCTTCGTTCGGCGCTGCGCTCGGCCCCGGGTGGCGCCTCGGCTGCGCGAGACGTAAACGGGCTGCTCCATCGCTCGAGCTAAACAGGGTTTTTCGTTGTCGTGTTGACTTCGTTTTCCTTCATGCTGTCTTCGTTCTGGCTCTGCTGCGAAACGAAATCAAAAAACGAAAACGGTCCACGAAATCGCCAAAACACCGTTCAGCTCGAGCCTTGGGCTGCTTTTGGGCGCCCTCTTGTCGGAGGGCGGCTATGACGCAGGCAGCAGCATGGGCGGCGACGCCGCGCCGTGGCTGGCCGTGCACGCGGCTCCTAGCTCGGGCGGGCTGGCTGGCCTGGCATCGGCTCCACGGGCACCACCGCCTCGCGTTGGGGCCCACGTGCTTTCGGCTGTGGCCGCGGAGGGGACGGGCGCCCTGCGGGACCTGGGGCGCTGGCTTGCGGCGCGGGTCGCGAGGGCTGAGGGCGGCACCGTCCTCCGCCGCCCGCAGTGGCGGGTCCCGCACTGGCAGTGGTCTTTCCTCCTCCTCCTCCTCCTCCTCCTCCTCCTCCGCCTCCTCCTCCTCGGCCTCCTCCTCCTCCTCCTCCTCCTCCTCCTCCTCCTCCTCCTCCTCCTCCTCCTCCTCCTCCTCCTCCTCCTCCTCCTCCTCCTCCTCCTCTTCCTCTTCCTCCTCCTGCTCCTCCTCCTCCTCCTCCACCTCCTCCACCTCCTCTTCCTCCGCCTCCATCAAGTTATTCGTCTTGTGGATGTACCAGTAGCTTCCTTGGGCGGGTCCCGATGTTGATGTCCATCCAGCCCATCTTCATGTCCTCCACCTCCTGCCCCATCAGCTTCAACTCGTGGCCAGTGTGTTTGGCACAACGGCGAGGAAGGAATCGGATGCAGAAATGTGGCGCGCGCTCGGGCGAGAGCGACATTCTGAACGACAGGAGCAAAGCGCCGATCCTGAAATGAGGCCATCGCTGCAGCGGGAGCACCAAGTGAAGCAACTACGAAGTCATATGTAAAAAAGACATGTAAAATTGGAGCCCTGTGCGCTATTCAGAAAAGCGGGAGAAGGGACCCTCGCACAGACTCTGGGGAAAAAGCAGACTAGTATTCATATTGAGCACTTGTGGGAAGGAGGAGAGGAGGAGGAGGAGGAGGAGGAGGAGGAATACGAGGACGAGGATGAAGACAAGGAGAAGGAGCGCGAAGATGAGGAGGACGACGAGGAAGACGAAGGGGTAAGTCTGAGAGAGAGAAGGAGGAGGAGTTGGAGCTGGAGCTGGAGGAGGAGGAGGAGGAGGAGGAGGAGGAGGAGGAGGAGGAGTTGGAGCTGGAGCTGGAGGAGGAGGAGGAGGAGGAGGAGGAGGCGGAGCAGCAACAGCAGGAGGCGGATGAAGAGGATCAAAATGCGGCATGGAGGCGCGCAGCGTGCTCTCTGAATGTGCACCACTCGCGCGACAAAGGCCTTCCAGGAACGAAAAACGTGAAGCAGGAGCAGGAGGAGGATAGCGAGGAGGAGGAGGAGGAGGAGGAGGAGGAGGAGGAGGAGGAGAGCGGGAGGGGGGGTAGTGGAGAACGAGGCTGGCGCACAAGAGAAGGGCGCGAAAACGTGAAAGAAACAATCCCGCCAACACACGGGGAAGGAGGAGGGCGAGCGAGCGAGCGAGCGCGCGGGGATGGTCAGGCGGGACTGGTCCTGGCAGTGGGCGGCGAGGGGGGCCGGAGCCCCAAGGAAGCGGCATGGGTGACTCGAGGTTGACAGGTGGAGGTGATGTGGAAAGTTTCGAACATGAGATCGACTGCAGACTCGATTTACCCCAAACGTGTTGTTCCCCGTCGAACCAGCGAAAAAGACGTAGAAGGCTGATAGAAGTTCGAAGAGTATACGTGCTCTTGTTCCGCAGAATGGGCGACGATCTCAAGTCTGGGGCAAATCAAGATGTGGTCGATCTCCTACTCGAGAGTTGGATGCCGGAAGCTGGGTGTCGAGGGAGGCGGAGGAGCCTCCAAAGAACGACGTCTGGCCAGGACGCTGGGGGGCGACCCGTGCCGCGGCGGCGAGGGCCCCTGGAGGCCCACTACGAGCACGCGGAAGCGCCAAACTCGCAACTCCTGCAAGACGAGGCCAGGACGAGGATAAAATCGGGTGAGGATACATCGAGAATCTCCGAGATCCGGCGGATCTGGAGGATGTCTCGGGCGCCGCGGCCTTCTCAGAGCATTCCAGAGCGCTCCGAGAGCATTCCGGAACGCTCTGGAACGGATTTATCCTCGTCCTACCCCCGACCCTGGGAGGTCTTCGTCGGGACGACCCAGGGCTCTTGAGCGCGGTCAAAAGGCCACTGAGCCAGATTAGCCCGGATTGAGCCAGGCATTAAGCCAGATGAAACGGGATCAAGCTGGATCTGGCGGACTCAAGCTGGATAAAGCGGGATGAAACCAGATTGGGCCAATTCCGACAAGAGGTATGCCGGCGCCGATTCTGAATTTGACCTCCCAGGGGCTGCATCCTAAGGTACGAGAGAATCTAGAGGCGCCAGCCGCCCAGGCTGCACTCCTGGCGAAGGCGCAGATAGACAGACACCAGGTAGGCCACCGGGTTTTGGAGGTTTGCTATGTTGATGAGGTTCAGGACGGCCAGCGTGCACGACGAAGCGCCGGCGACGAATGCCTGGGGGACGAGAGGCAGAGACGAGGGAAGAGGAGGAAGGGCTCCTCTTCCTCCTCCGACGCGTCCTTGTCCTCGTTCTCTTCCTCCTCCTCCCCCCTACTCCTCCTCCCGCTCAGTTTGCTTCGTCGGCAAGGCAACAGGGCGGGAGGACGAGGCATCAGAGGATCCCAAGGACTCTCAGGGACCCTGGAGAGGGCATGGACGACAGCGGAGAGGAGGCGAGGAGAGGGGAGGTGTTGGGGTGCATGTACGGTCGGACACAAGACAGACGAACTTCCTCCAAGAACGTAAGACCATCCGCCGGCCAAACTAAAGAATATTCGAGGGTGACATCCCACAGGATGCACAAGAACATCCAACCAACACGAAGAACGTTGGGGTACCCTCCCCGAACCGACCTAGACATCGGTCCGACCATATGTGAGGCGTCTGGGGGGGCTGCAAATCACATAGACCTCCGGCGTCCTGATTTTGTTCACTTCGTGGGCCCCCGGAGCTCCCGACCCCACCTCTGAAATAAGGTTTACGTCGCGGCTCGGTGTCCACGGAGGCCCGAAGACGGCCCACAGAGGCCCGCATCGGGAGACAAAAAGGCACACCCATCACGATGCGTCGCGGTGCCTGGGGGTCTGTGAAAATCAGCCCCTGGAACCACTGCCTCTGAGAAACACCGCTTCCTCTACCCCCTCCCCCTCCCCCTCCAGCTCCCCCTCCCCCCTCCGCCTCCTCTTTGTTCTCCCCCTCCCCCTCCACCTCCCCTTCTGGAGATAGACCTCCAGAAGCCCCCGAAGACAGCCGAAAACCTGCGAGAACGACGACGACGACGACGACGACGACGACGACGACGACGACGACGACGACGACGGTCGACGACGACGACGACGACGGTCGACGGTCGACGACGACGACTGTCGACGGTCGACGGTCGACGGTCGACGGTCAACGGTCGACGACGAACGGCGGGCGCGGTGGCGGCGCGCGAGCCAGGACGCCTCGCGTGCGCGCGCCGTGCGCGCAGGCGGCTGAACATCGTTTAACCAATTCCTATCCCCACTGGCGTGGCCTGGGCCCCACTGGCCGATGTACCCCACCCCCACAAGATGGGGAGTTAGGCTGTTCACCTCGGGTTTTGAGGTGCCTGTCCCCAACTAGGGTGGTGGGATGGTGGGGATGGGGATGGGGTTGTGTTGTTCCCATCATATCTAAGGGCCACATCCCAGACATGATTTCGAGCAGCCAGAGAAATACCGAAACGGTGTCTGCCCGACGCGCTGGCGAGGCGTCGAACGAGCATCGCCCCTCCCAGGGCTCGACGCGCGAAAAGCCTCCAGTTTCGACCTTCTCCTTGTGCTCGAGATTATTTCTGGTGATCCAGGTTTGAAGTGGCTAAATATCGTAAGAATGGAGATGCGTGGGACGCACATAGACATACCAGTACAATATGTCCTCATTGGAGGCGCGCGTCCGACCCGAACATGCAGTACACCCATCTTGTAGTATATCGTTTCCCAAGCGGTACGGCCAGAAAGCGCCGACCACGACGCGTACACTGCAAGATTTCTCGGTGCGCGCGTCGCCCCTGAGGAGGCGGCGCACACATAGTGTTAGTATGCTGGGGTGATGGGGATCGGTTGAACGATGCTGCGCGGCGAGAGGCCGAGGCAGGCGGCAGAGGGCGCGCGCCAGCAGCTGCACCCCGGCCGGCCCCTGCTCGATGCAGCCCACGAACTTCTGCCCCACCTCGCGGCGGCGGCAGCATGAGGAGGAGGAGGACGACGACAACGAGGAGGAAGGAGCGAGGAAGGAGGAGGGAGGAGGGAGGAGAGCGGAAGGAGGAAGAGGGAGGGGGAGAAGGAGCAGGAGGAGGAGGAGAAGGAGGGAGGAGGGAGGAGGGAGGAGGAGGGAGGAGGGAGGAGGGAGGAGGGAGGAGGAGGGAGGAGGAGGAGGACGAGGAGGAGGAGGAGGAGGAGGAGGAGGAGGAGGAGGAGGAGGGGGAGAAGGGAGGAGGACGAGGGGGAGGGATGAGGAGGAGGAGGAGGAGGAGGAGGAAGAAGCTGGAGGAGGAGGAGGAGGAGGAGGGAGAGGGAGGAGGAGGAGGAGGAAGGAGTTAGTAAGAGGAGGAGGAGGAGGGAGGAGAAGGAGGAGGAGGAGGACGAGGAGGAGGACCAGGCAATTCCCAGACCCCCCCACTATGTTGCAATGAACCCTCCCTCCAAGTTCCTCTCATAGGACCCTACACACCGGCCCCCTTGTAGGGCCAGCAAGCTGTAGGACGAGGGTTTGCTGTTCCCTGCACCAGTGCCAATTTCCAATTTCCACTGTTACATTTCTGCTTCTTGTTGCTTACTGTTCCTTGTTGTAGACCGCGCGGAGGGGGGGGGCCGGAAACCGCCCTGGTTAGCACCTGCCGGGAGGGGTCTCAGAATTTCTGGGGGGGCGAAATTGACACCCATCACGCAGATCGGCGGGGTCAGGGTCGAAAAAACCATGGGATTTGCCACATGTCTGAAATCCGGCGGCACCCCTCATGCAGATCGTCGGGGTCAGAGTCCAAAAACCCATGGGATTTGCCACATTTCTGAAATTCGGCGGCACCCCTCACGCAGATCGTCGGAGTCAGAATCCAAAAACCGGGGTCAGGGTCGAAAAACACATGGGACTTACCACGTGTCTGGAAATCCGGTGGCACCCCTCACGCAGATCGGTGGGGTCAGGGTCAAAAAACACATGGGATTTGCCACATGTTTTAAACATTTGGCGGCACCCCTCACGCAGATTGGCGGGGTCAGGGTCGAAAAATCATTGGGATTTCCCACGTTTCTAAAATTCGGTGGCACCCATCACGCAGATCGCCGGCGTCAGGGTCGAAAAACACATGGGATGTGCCACATCTTGAAATTCGGTGGCCTCCCTCATGCAGATCGTCGGGGTCAGGGTCCAAAAACACAAGGTCTTTGCCACATTTCTGAAATTGAGTGGCACTCCGTATGTAGATCGGCGGAGTCAGGGTCGAAGAACCCATGGGATTTGCCACATGTCTGGAAATTCGGTGGCACCCATCACGCAGATCGGTGGGGTCAGGGTAAAAAAATATGGGATTTGCAACATTTCAAAACTTCGTAGAAAAGCTTTTTGCACCGCATACGCGAGCAAGCTCGAAATGCAACACCGAATTCAGAAATATCATCAGAATCTCAATTTGTCTTGGGATTATTCATCGTCTTCGCGCGAAGTCCCGACGCTGCTTCACGGCGGCGCCAAGGCCTCATAAGTTCGCTCTTGCATTGCCCGTTACTCGAGAGAGGGAGCCGGCGGCAGGGGGGGTAAGCCCTTACGGATATGAATTTACAGTTTGGGAATTGTCCTGTTGGAAGACATTGATATGAAACTCCTTAACCGTGCTAGATCACCATTCCTGGGACTGCAACGCCGGGAATCAACGTATGTTGCGTCCTGACGATCTTTGGTCGTGCCAGAACACCGATCCTGGGACTTCAACAACGAGTCCTTGCGCCCTGAGTCGTACAGCGTGTCAAAACACCATTTCTGGGACGTCAACAACAAGAATCGTCCATGAGTCCAGACGTCGCCGAAGTCACACCGCTGCGGGGTCTCGTGCTGGGGCGTCGGTCTCAGCAGCAGCCATGGTGAGAGCTCCGGGTGAAGCGAGCGCGGCCGCCTCGAGGGCGGCGTGATGCGGTCAGGCCCCTGACTGGATTGTACCGCGCTCCTGCGCGCAGAAAAAAAGCTCCGCTGCCAATGGCAAGGCCGTGTATTGGAATCGACTCTGATTGTGCGGGAATTCAGAAATGGGGAAACAGGCGTACGGAAGAGGGGGCCCACTCTGAGGGCCCATAGGTTAACGATTCACACGCTCTCACATACACAACATGCATGCATTTGCCAATAAGGGCCTCCCCGAGCCCAAACGAGAAGGCCCCCCTGGAGTCAGATGAGCCACGCCACTGTGGGCGACCACTGGCTCCGAGGGCTTCCTCGATGTTAGAAATGCTGGGGCGGTTCCGTTGTAGGTTTTGGCATGTTCTGTTTTCGGCCAACCTAAACGAAGAGAACAACAAAAAACAACAAGCATCTGGAGCCAAAAACAATAAAACCTGTAATGCACAACGGAAACGAATGGAAAACGGCGCGATCAAGAATCCCCGCCCCACCCCCTCTCCAAAAAATCTCCAAACACGTTCAAAAACACGGCGGGATTGAAAACGACAAACAAGCCGCCAGCAGCGTTTTTTACATCTAAGTCTCTGGGGGGGAGGAGGGCGCGCCCGAAAGAGCCGCGACGTCGGAAGCCTGGGGTCGGGCGCGCCCTCCCCTCCTGGTGGTACCGTCGCTCGTCGCCGCCGCCGCCGCCTTTCGCCGTCGTGGTCGTCGTTGTCGATCAACGTCGTCGTCGCCGTCGCCGCCAGCGCCGTCATCGCCTTCGTCGTCACCGCCGTCGCCGTCGCCGTCGCCGCTGCCGTTCTCGCAGGCTTCCGAGGTCTTCGGCGGTTTTCTGGGGACTCCAGAAGGGGGAAAGGAAGAAGAAGAAGAAGAAGAAGAAGGAGAAAGAAACGGAAGAAGAAGAAGAAGAGGAAAGGGGAGTGGAAGTGTCTTACCTTTTCTGATCCTCCAGGGTGGCCCTCGTCACAAGCGGCCACCTTTGCATTCTTGATAGAGACCACGAGAGGTCCCGATGTCGGCATTGACGGGGAGGGGGGGAAGGGAGCAGGATGGGGAGGAGAAAAGGGGGAGGGGGAAAAGGAGGCGCAGGGGGAAAGTGAGTGGGAGAGGGGGCAGGGGGCAGAGGAGGTTTCCAGCGGTTTGCAGCAGGTTTCGAAACGTTTCCGAAGATCTCCGCCATCGCCGTCCTGCACATCGTCGCCGACGTCGTCGCCGTCGCCGTCACCGTCCCAGCCCCGTTGCCGTCGTCGTCGTCGTCGCTGTGGTCGTCATGCTCGACGTCGCCGTCGTCTGCTCGACGACGCACGCCACCGCGCATGGCCGCGGGCGCCTGGCCGGCCCCCTCCATCGCCATGCCCGCGAAGTGCCGCGCCTTTGCCTGCACCTGGCACAGGTGAGGGGCAACGATGGGGGGGTGACTGGCGCAGGGCGGGACATCGACCTGGAATCGGCGATCCATCGCCGATGGATCGGCGATGGGCCCCCGATAGCGAATCCGCACGTTCCCGGGCGGGGTGGGGCTACCCGGCCCCTGATCGGCGATCAATGAGCGCTTGGAGGTCGATGCATTCCCCCCTGAGCCTATCCCCCCCTATCTTTGCCCCTGAGGGGGGGAGGGGGGCGAGCCGCCAGAGCCGCTGCGGCCACCAGGGGCGCTGTCCACGCGCGGACCCGGGCCCTTGCCGAGAGAGAGAGAGAGAGAGAGAAAGTGACGCCACCGTGGCCCTGGGCCGGGAGGTGCTGCGAGCGTCCCTGGCCCAAGGTGTCCCTGGCTGCTCGCTCCATGCTGGAAGTCCTGGGGCCACGCGAGGGGCGCTCTGGCGGCCGTGGGAGCCTCCCGTGGGAATCCTGGGGACACCCTGGGCCAGGGACACATCTCGGCGACGAAAAGAAAAGGGTCTTACGCGAGGTGACGCAGCGACCGTGCGCGGCGGCTTCATTACGCAGGCCGCAGGCGCGGCACGCTACATTGGAACGAGTACGCTTACGCGCGACCTTACGCGAGTAGCTTACGCGCCAATGTCGGCGCAGACGACACTGGTTTTGTGCGTCGCTCATCTGGCAACGCCCGACCTTGGGCCTGCCCGTGCGTGGACGGCGCGATGGTGCCTGAGCGCAGCTTGCGGGAGGCAGGAGTGGGGAACTCACGGGAAAGGCATGGGAGGGGTGGAGGGAGGAGGCAGGAGGGGTGAGGAGGGCGACGTCGATGAGAGGCGACGAGGAAGGAGGGGTGGTGGTGGTCACTGCATGAGGAAATGAGCAACACGCACCACGACCGCGACCACGACCACGACCCCGACCACAACCACGACCACGACGACGACAACGACGACGACGACGACGACGACGACGACGACGACGACGACGACGGCGACGGCGACGGCGACGGCGACGGCGTCGGCGACGGCGACGGCGACGGCGATGACGACGACGACGACGAGGCACACTAATGATCCGTGCGAAGTGTTGCGAGGCTTGGTAAACAGCACGTCGTTGAGCGGTGTTGCGGCCTTACCCCGAGCACAGGTCCGCCCCGGAGCAGCAGCCAGGCAACTCGGGTTTGCACCTTCATGCTTTGCTGAGCCCAGGGGCGCGTTTCAGCACGATATCCCCCAACTTCGTCAGGGCTAACGACAAGGAAGACGGCGGCGGTGGCCGACGCGTCCGAGCTTGCTCTAAGCACCACGTCTCAGCGAGTGGGGAAAACAGACGGACAGATCACAGACGGACGGGACTGACGGACAGCCAGGCGGTGCGCCATGTCTGGCAAGCCAGGGCAAGGGCGACGAGAAGCGACGAAGTAGGAGGGAGGGAGGAAGACGAGGACGGGGACGTGAGCAAGGAGGGAGGAGGGCGAGTGCGAGTGCGAGGGCGAGGAGGGGGACGATGACGAGGGGGATGGGCGAAGACGAGAAGGAGCAATAGCACGACGAGCAGGAGTACCACGAGACGCCAGTGTGTGGGACCTCTCGGATTGTTCTCGACACCCAATGCACACTTCTCATCGTTCGAGGTGCAACCACCGTGACCATTTTAGACTGAGGAGCCTCCAGGCGGTAAAATCTGCCACAGTGTCCTTGGCACGAAGTGAAGTGCCCCAAGGCTCACAGCTTTGCTGCTGCTGCTACCAAGATTCTATATTCTTAAGAGCCCGGGCACACGGGCTCCTGGGCGCTCATGGGCGCTCATGGGAATGTTTGGGAGCTCCTGGGCGGTATCGCGTGCGTCTTTGGGAAGCCAGGATGGTCCCAAGACGGGCCTAGACGGACCGAGGAGGCCGCGAAGATGCACCCACAGAGCCTCGAGACGCCTCATGATCGCCCCCAGATCCTCAAGATGGATTGCAGACGGCCAAATTGGCCCCCAAGAGGCTACAAGCGGGCCCCAAAAATACACCCAAGAGGGCTCGAAGAGGTCAAAATCATTGATGCTCCGGAGGATGTGATCCTTCTCGCCATGTTCAGCTTTGAACGCTCCGAGACGGCCCTAGAAGCCCCCAAAACACCCCAGGACTGCTCAGGAGGCCCCAGGAGGACCCCGAGACGTCTCAAGAGGGCCCTGGGACGGCCCAAGATGACCCCAAAACGGCCCAAGAGTCACCTACGAGGGACACAAGAGGGGCCCAAGAGTACGTGAACTGACATCTCGAGCCTTCCGCCCCAAGATGGCCACAAGAGTCCCCTAGAGGCTCCCAAGAGATCACCGACTCATATGTATCAACGATGCATCTGAACCACAGCCCAGGCACGGTGGCGGGATGGGCCGAAGGCCATAAGATGTTATCGGTTGGGACTCGGTCCAAACCAAGAGTGGAGGAAGGGGGACGAGAACGAAGGCAAGGACAAGCAGGACGAGGACGAGTGGTAGGAGGACAAGGACGAGAGGTAGGAGACGAGCGGTAAAGGTAGAGGTACAGGCTCAGACACAGGTGGACGTGGAGGCAGACGTAGCTATAGACTAAGCCACACATGCAGACGCAGACGTAGACGTAGAATCAGAGTCAGATAGAGGTAGAGGTAGAGGCGAAAGTGAAGGTGGAGGAAGAGGTAGAGGTAGAGGTATGCAGGTAGAGGCAGAGATAGAGGTACAGGCAGAGGTAGAGACAGAGGCAGAATCAGAGGCAGAGGCAGGAGGCAGGAGGCAGGAGGTAGGAGTACAAGGTAAGAGGTAGGAGCTGTGAGCCAGACATAGGAGCTAGGAGCAAGAAGCTGGGAGGCAGGAGCTCGGAGCTCGGAGCTGAGAGAAGGGAGCTGAGGAACATGAGCTGGGGGGTGAGAGCGAGGAACTTCGAGGTTAGGAGGTCGGAGCTAGGTGCTGAGAGAAAGGAGCTGGCAGAAACGGGCTGGGGTCCAGGAGCGAGGAGCGAGTGGCTAGGAGCCAGGGCTAGGGGCTGGGAGCAGGGACGTGAGAGGCAGGGGAGGAGACAAAGGCCCCGAAGGAGCAGGGGGGAGGACGACGGAAGCGGGGAAAAGGAAGAGAACAACAACAGAGGCGACGAGAAAGACGACGAGAAAGACGACGACGACGACGACCACGACCACGACCACGGCGACGACGACGACGACGACGACGACGACGACGACGACGACGACGACGACGACGACGACGACGACGACGACGACGACGGCGACGGCGACGGCGACGGCGACGGCGACGGCGACGGCGACGGCGACGGCGACGGCGACGGCGGCTGGAGGCCGGCGGCGCCTCGGGGTCCCCAGCCCACTCCTTCACCTGGGCCGCCGGGAGGCGCGGCTGCGAGAGTGGGGGGGGGGCTGTGGGCGAAAAGCTCGGCTGCGCCCTCTCGCGTCCCCTCCTGCTTCCCTCCGTTTAGAGATCAGGAGGAGTAAGCTCAGAGGCCACTAGATGAACACGGACCCAGGTCCCATGTCAACCTTCCACCACCACCCCCCTGGGCTCGCCACCGCCCTGGACCCAAAGGCGCTGGCACCTCACTTCTGGCAAGGCCCAGGTGGGTTCCGAGGGAGGCGGGCCCTGGATCCCCAGGGGGCATTTCCCGGGACCAGCTCTTTTCGGCGGCCAGCCCGGGGGGGAAGTGAGAAGGAGCGGGTCTTCGTAGAAGGCTCGGAAGTACCCTGGCCTTCTGAGAAGTTTTCTGACCCGCTCCCGAACACAGGCGGAACTTCTCAAAAGGCGCGGGGGCTCTGAGAAGTCCCGCCGTCTGCTGAGAAGGCATTATCCTTCTCGCTTCCCCCCTCGCTAGCCGCCGACCTTTGGGGCGTCCAAAGGGGGGGGGGGGGGCGCAGATTATGGTCCGAGGCACGGGCGCGGACGAGCGGTAGCCAGGGACGGTTTGACATAAGAAGAGGGGGCATGGAATCTGAGGGGATATCATGCTCCCCGCCATGATAGAGGCTCCCAAGAGGCCCCAAAACTCCTCTCCAGAGGCCCCCAGAGCCTTTCGAAGAGACCCCAGGAAACATCCCTGAGGACTCTGGCCAACATCAGCGCCGTCGTCGTCGCTGCCGCCGCCGCCGTTGTCGTCGTCGTCCCCCTTCGGGGTCGGCGGTACCAGCCTGTAAGGTCTTCGCAATGGGAAGAAGGGGCATGGAATCTGGGGCGAATGCCTCCCGCCATGATATCCATCCCCCCCTAAGTCATCATCCCCCTGTTGACCGCCCCCGGAAAACATGTCCGTACCCGCAGCCTCGCCTCGCGGGCCGGGCCCCTGGGCCGCGATCCCGCGGATACGGGGCGTTCTTTTTCGCAATGCCCCGCGCGGAGCGTATGCGTGCGACCCGCGAATCCGCGGGCTCGCGACCTCGAATCCAGACCGCGAGAGCGCGGATAGGGATACGCTTGCCGCTCGTGGGGATGGCGAGGGCGGAGAAGCTGTGTCGCCGTTCATGGGAGCCTTCGCGTCACGCGTTGGCGTCTGCTGTCGCTCCACTTCCGTTCCGCTTCCTTTCTACGCCTGGCGCAGCTTATGGCCAACGCGCGAGGCGCGGTAGCGGGGGCACGAAAGCGACGCGGAAGTAGTACGGAAAGGGCACGGACTCTGTAAAAAATGAAGGGTTTAATTGATAACGCAGGCTCCCATGAACGGCCACACAAGAGAGGGGGGGGGGGGGAAAACAGGGGGGGTAACACGAAGCCATGACTGGGCAAAACTCGCACCGGGACAAATCGGGATTTCTGAGATGTGTCGGTTCTAGGGAATGTATCGGGCGCCGCGGCCGTTCGAAAGCGCTCCAGAACGCCCTGACAGCATTCCGGAACGCTCTGGGATGATTGATCACAGTCTTGGCCCCGCTCGTAGGAGGGCGAAGGAGGAGGGCGAAAGGAGGAAGAGGAGGAGGAGGTCGAGGGGCATCAGAGACTCCATGACCGCCGAAACGCAGATCACTTCAAGTATGTCAGCTGAACTCTGCGGTATCACATGGGCTATGGCGATGATCATGCAAACAAAGGCCATGGACCATTTCGCAATACACTGCAATTCCACGGTTGCCATACACCTACACCTCACAACAGGACAATCTGGCCCAACATAACCCATGGATTAGTGAAGCTTGCCAGAGCACTGTACGAAGAGATCCGCGCACACAAGTATATCGGCATCTACTGGAAAAAAGGCGCACAACGATCACCCATGGAACGAGCATGCAGACATGGCAGCGAAAGAGGCTGCCGACAGCGAACTACCTGAAGTGCAAGCCCTGGAGTACAGAGACATGTTCCATGTCACACTTGACACTAACTGGCAATGGCTACTACATGCACCTGGACAAGACAGAGCAGCAGCCTACCAGAAAATGATACTACAGGCTTCCTTATCGACAAGATATCGCAGCTAGCCCAGGACAGACATATTCTAGAACCGCCAAAAACCGGTATAGTCAGGGCGTACGTCAAGTTCCACATTGTTTCCTACAACAGCCTCACGCTGAACGACAAAGACGACAGCCAGTACGTACGATCCCGGAAAAGAAAGACCATAGATAAGGTCTCCGAGAGATGTACCCAGATACACGCGACGCTGTATTCTTCGCAAGCATCCAGGAATCGACACGCAAGCAAGGACAACAACACGCCAAAAGATTTACTGCTGTACATTTGTGAGCCGAAGATGGCAAATACCTATTGCAGTTTAGTCATCAATTCGAAAGTCAGCTACGCCACTGACGGGAAGGGCGACCTAAACTGCAAATATAAGCACGTCAACATGCAACTACAATCACCTCGACTCCTTGTGGTGCTCATGGATGCCCATGTTTCTCAAGCATACGACCATGGTGGCACACGCACCCAACATGCACATACCATCGCAGGTCCGTCAATATTACTGGGAACAGCTCACACAAAATACCTACACTTGGGAGCCCAGCATCACACTGCTGAACCGCAACGGCCGCGTGGGCAGCATTACTTCAAAGTGGATCGGGAACCAGGGATGGAGAGAAGACGAAAACGAGCACGGCACAGCGATGCACCACAAGATCGCCGAGACGAGCATGTACGCCATCAACACACTACTACTGCACGAAGAAGAATACCCATGGTCAGCAGCGAAGGAAGGACCATATCACAGGATTGATTATGTAGTCACCTCAGAGCAGTTGTACAGATGTGCCCTTGGCGGCGCAACACAGAGAAAGTACCACCAAATGGCAGATAGAGAAAAACGTCTGCCTACAATTGCAGAATTCGAAAACACGATGCATGTCACCACCAAGAGAAACAACGGTGTCCAGTATAACAAGACTAAACTCGGGGAACTCGACCTTGCAAAACGGTTCGGGCCGGTACTGGACGAGGCAGACATCCCAAACTGGAACACCGGCTTGAACGACAACTTCAAGATAACAACCGATACGATACAGCAAGCCGACAAGCAAGTGTGCCGCGCCTCTGACACTACGCCCACCAGGGACGAAATGTCAACCGCGTCTGTGAGACCAATCAGGGTACAAAGACAAGACCAACTAGCACGACAAGACTACTACCGAGGATCCCCAAGCATTGGCAAAACTACACCTTCCGCAATACACCCTAAACATTCCGACTCAGGTGGTACCACGAAGCCACGCAGCTGGTAGATGCCAGCAAACAGCAGCGCAACTGGGAAACTACAACAAAGACCATGATGGCGAAGATCGACTATTGGTTGCTGGTCATCCGTGTTGCACATTTCTGAAGTTTGGGGGAACGACCGATGACAAGACTACAAGACAACAGCTGAACAACTCGCCGAGGCAGCATGACAAAAAAAATGCCAGGGATACCTGGAGGATTACGCGCAAACTTCTGCGAGCGGCTGAAAATGAGAAGAAGAATCCGCCGGCCCCCTTGTGGGGCCACCAGGCTGTAGGCGCGTGATTCGCAGTTTCCTGTACCAGTTGTAGTTTCTAGTTTCCAGTGTTACAGTTCTGCTTCTCGCTGGTTACTGTAACTAGTTGACTTCTTGCCGGTTACTGTAACTAGTTGATTGACCGCGCGAGGGGGGGGGAGGCCCAAACACGATTTTCCAGCGTCCCCTGGGCGCGTTGTCTGAATTGCTGGGGAGGCTCGAACTCAACACCCCTCACGCAGATCCGCGGGGTCAGGGTCCAAAAACACAAGGGATTTGCCACATTTTTGAAATTCGGTGCCACCGCGGGGTCAGAGTCCAAAAACACAAGGGATTTGCCACATTTCTGAAATTCGGTGCCACCCCTCACGCAAATCCGCGGGGTCAGGGTCCAAAAACACAAGGGATTTGCCACATTTCTGAAATTCGGTGCCACCCCTCACGCAGATCCGCGGGGTCAGGGTCCAAAAACACAGGGGATTTGCCACATTTCTGAAATTCGGTGCCACCCCTCACGCAGATCCGCGGGGTCAGGGTCCAAAAACACAGGGGATTTGCCACATTTCTGAAATTCGGTGCCACCCCTCACGCAGATCCGCGGGGTCAGGGTCCAAAAACACATGGGATTTGCCACATTTCTGAAATTCGGTGCCACCCCTCACGCAGATCCGCGGGGTCAGGGTCCAAAAACACAAGGGATTTGCCACATTTCTGAAATTCGGTGCCACCCCTCACGCAGATCCGCGGGGTCAGGGTCCAAAAACACAGGGATTTGCCACATTTCTGAAATTCGGTGCCACCCCTCACGCAGATCCGCGGGGTCAGGGTCCAAAAACACAGGGATTTGCCACATTTCTGAAATTCGGTGCCACCCCTCACGCAGATCCGCGGGGTCAGGGTCCAAAAACACAGGGGATTTGCCACATTTCTGAAATTCGGTGCCACCCCTCACGCAGATCCGCGGGGTCAGGGTCCAAAAACACAGGGATTTGCCACATTTCTGAAATTCGGTGCCACCCCTCACGCAGATCCGCGGGGTCAGGGTCCAAAAACACATGGGATTTGCCACATTTCTGAAATTCGAACCCATCACGCACATCCATCGCAAGGCGTGGTAACCCAAACTGCGAGAACTCCCTCGGCCCTTTCATCGCAAGGTGTGGTAACCAAGCCCTTAAACCATACACGTCTTACCAATCGCCAGGTGTGGTAACCCCTCTTGTGATCAGTTGGTTTTGCTGATTGCGACTCGGCTTCGCATGAAGTTTCGATACTGCTTCACGACAGCGCCAAGGCCTCATGACTTAGCTCTTCCATGGCCCATTCTCAGAGAGAGGGGGCCGGCGGCAGGGGGCGAAGCCCTTACGGATATCAAACCTCACATGTTGCGCCAATACGTCACGACGAACTTGGACTTCCAAAACAGGAAGACTGGCAATGGGGACAGCAACAGGTAAACTACTTTGCCAAGGTCGAGCGAGCCCAGGTCATGGAGTGGACGGAGCTGAAGGACATCTACAACCACCAAAGCCGAATGGCACACCACACTCTCTTGCAGTGAAGTGGAACCCGACACGGTGACACCCCGAGAAACTCAATCTACGGCGCTGGCTAAAGGAGCTAGAAATCACGCTACAGGAGCAGAAGAACTATTCGACGATCTGGGTGCCGCAGCCGCGCAGCCAATGGCACGACACCTGCATCCGCTGTATACAAAGATGGAATTGCTACAACAAGAAACCCTGCGCGCAAAACGAGGTATCGCTGCGGAGGTCTTTAAAAGAAACAAAGATACACACAGCAGTATCGAATACTCGAGATCCATCCTGGTGGGCTCCAACATCACCAAGCATCACTCCGCCTGCATCAGGGCTAGACTTGAGGACACGCTGGAAAACGTCTATACTGACTCAATGCGCGGAGGCCAGAACAACAGAGGAACTACTGTGGCGACGCGCGTCATCAGATCTATGATCTCGATGACACGCACAACAAACACAACAGCACTACTGCACCTCTATGACCCCAAGAACGCGTAATGCATTATGCAGGCAGACCCAGACATACTCCAGGACAAGCTGAGCATTTACGGCATACAAGCAGAGTGGAAACAACTCGTCGACCTGCTACTCGAATACCAAATTATCACTAACAAGACGTGCTCACCACACGTGGTATCAATGCTGGTATCAATGCTGGTACAAGCCCACAATTGCGAAAGTCACCACAGGGTCTCGACCAGGTGCAACTTCATCTTCAGCGCACTGAATGCCAAAACGATCATGTCTATACAGACTAAAATGGCAAAACAAGATTATTACTTGACCTCACAAAGTTCGAGAGGTCCTACGCACCCGGCCAGAACGACAACGACCCAGCAGTGGCCAACGACAGTACATATGCACACGACTCTGGTTTTACACTATGAAAAAAGATAATACCATGATCGAGATCAAGATTGCCAAACTGACCAATGTGATACGTTACATGATGGACTACGAAAAAATGCACTAACGCCTAGTTACAAGCCGGGCAAATCATAGATCCTGGTTTGTGTACATCGCAAGAACTCCAGAGCAGCGAAGCATTTCCTACACAACACATAAAATTGTAGACTCATGCTACAAGATACAGATCTCCCGATCGACATTTTGACCAAAGCAAAGTTCCTCGGAGGCATCTTGGACGCGGACGAATGCCTGGAACCAGAAATACCCCCCTCCACGGCTGTGTGGTGCCCACTCAAGAAAAGATCGGTGCGAAGGACCTGGTCCAGCTTGCGGACGCCCTGGCCCCTTCTACACTTGCGCACGCTGCAGAAATTTGGCCGACCCCCACCATCAAGAAGGCAACTATCCACACAACGTGCATCAAGCTCCACGGGGCGGCCCTGGGCATCGCGAACAACGAGCAACAGGATCATAGGATCACCGACAACTACGTACTGGACAAGGTCGACAGACTCCACCTGGAAGACCTCCTACGAAACAGGCGGCTCAGCTACTACATCAGTCCTTTGCAGCATTGACCTTCACATCGACTATACATCGTAAAGATTCTACACCACCAAGGCGGCAAATGGACTACGCAACTGCAACCATATTCTGGATGGCTAGACAGATGCCAGGATACAGCATCACAGAAAAGATGTTTTGGTGTGCAAGCGTGGACCGCGCGGGCTGTTGCAGACCACGAGGAGGCTACTAGACATTTCGAAGTCCTCTGAAGAGCAGCAGCACAGTGGACATAGAAGCACACAAAGCACATGGCATGGCACAAATCGTTATACGAGCGACTGGGCCTTTCCAAAACACAAACGCCACTGGAACATGCGCCGTTGCCAACTACGGAACTTACTACGTTTAATGGAGACATAATCCGGGTTCAAAAAAGTTCCTGGCGCACCCACAGACAACCTGGACAACCAATGCTGATTAATGACGACAAGACGACCTACCCCGGACAACCTCTGGGACAACCCAGCGGGGATCCGGACATCCCCTCAGGACAACCCCCCTTGGACAAGCCTCCATGGAATTTCTCTTCCACAAGATATAGTGGGTACGCATGCCCGCAATGCACACAGATACTTGCCACAAAAGGCGCATGGACGGTGCACATGTCCAAATACCACCTGAAGCCCAACCACATCCGCAATTACTGCCAGAGCGGCCTGCGGAGACTGTGTTGGCTCCTTCCTGCGCACTCGCGTCGGGCTAGTCTTGCGCCAGCCGCTGGTCGGCCGCATCAGGCAGGTCGCTTCCGGTGGATGGCGGGGGGGCAACTGCCAGCAGGCAGCTGCTGAAGATCAACGAGGGGAAACGTCAGGGGGGGGGCGGACCAGCTCAGGGGAAGGAGAGGAATCAAGAAACATCAAGCTAAAACGAACAATACGCCGCCAATAAATCAACAACAAGTACCTCACAGTAAATCCACACGCTCCTGGGCGGGGCAAGCTATCAGGCCCCTTGTCGGCGATGAGTGGGCGATGAGGGGTCAACGCATCCTTCCTTGAGCCTATCCCCTCCTAACGCTGCCCCTGATGCAGGGTGAAGACGCGGGCAGATGCCAAGCATATGAGTGAAAAAGGCCACCGCCGGTGAAATTCCCCTCCCTGATGCGCGGAGGGCCCAGCGCGCCGATCCGCGAGATCCGCGCAGATCTTCGGACGTTTCTGCCTACTCCGATGTCCGTTCCTCGAACTCCGTACGAAGCCCACGCCTGCAAGTTTGATTTACGAAACGCCGGCGGGGGCTCAGAAAGTGAGTGAAGAACGTCTGCCGCCAGGGGAGCCCCTGCGGGCCTCAGCGTCCACTGGCCCCCGCAGGGGTAGGATGCGCAAGCGGTCGCAGAGTTGGAGCACCAGACGACCACATGGACCCAAGCCTCCGAACCTCCGCGGATGGTATCTCCGCTGGCGCTGGACCCCCTGGCAAGATACACTCGCCGTTCTACGGGCCTGGTGGATGCCCTGGGCCCCTTTCCTGGCAAGCCAAAGTGGGCTCGCAGCGCCCTCTGATCATCCACGAACCGTCTCACTGGCGAGGAAGGGCACGCATGCATAACCAGCATGCCCCAAACCCTGGGGGGCGAGACGCTTTGAGGCCCGTCGAACGTCCGCGAACGGTATCTCCGCTGGTGCCGGATCCCCCGGACACCAGCGGTCTCGACCCCTCTCCTGGACCGGTCCTTCCTCCCGAGTCGTTTTCGACGGTTCCGAGGGCAGGTCGGGACCCTGGAAGCCGAAAATAGTGTAAAGAACTCCCCGTCCTGACTTTTGTCAGTGACCCGAGGGGGTCTGGGCCCATGGGCGCCGCCCCCAGCGCGCTTCGTGCGCTGTGAGGGGGTCGCGGGAAGGGGGGCTGGCGGCGACGGAGACGTCAATCTCTAGGAGGGCACCAACTGTACACCTACACCGATCCCGAAATCTCCCCCACCCCCTGGTGCGCGTGGCACCCGGGAGCGTGCACCTACGGGACTGCCAGCCCAGCTACATGGCACGCCTCCACGCAGGGTGGTCAGCCCGTTGCCGACGTGACCCGCAGCTGCGTCATTGGCGATTGCTGCATTCGCCGCGTCGGAAGAAAGTTAGGAGGCAACTTCTGGGAGGTCTTCGGAACAAGCTTGAAAGGGTTTTAACCCCCCATTACGGGGCCATTAGACTGGATGAGCCTGGCTCAAGCCCGGGATGAAGGTGGATGAAGCCGAACTCAGCGGGACTGGGCCGTATTAAGCGGTAGTAAGCTGAACTAGGCGGGATCATGCCTGATTTGGCAAGCTGTCGGCCACGGACTTACCAGCGCCGATGCCTGACTCTAACCTCCCAGAAGTTGCACCCCAGGAGAGATGCACTTGCGGAGCGCTCCGGCCGAGCCGCGGCCGCCCATGCCGCAGGTGCGGCGGCGAGGAGGGACGGCCACCACGCCCCAGCCCCTCGGCAGGACGCCAAGGAACAAATGACGGCATACGCATACGATTCAGGAGGTCAGTGCGGATTTCTTGGATCGGCGCTGACCCTCCCTCCCTGGCGCGTGGAGCGCGCTAGGAACGGCGCCGGAGGCGCCGCCAGGGGGCTCCAGCGCCGATCCAAGAAATCAGGCCAGACCTCCGAAAGCTCGTGTTTACATCATTCTTTGAGCGACGATCAAAAGCGGGTCGCACGCGACACGGCAAAGCGACCTTTGCGCAGCGGCTTACGCGGCCCCGCCTTCTCGGCACGCCACATTGGAGACGAGAGCGCGCACGCGAGACCTTACGCGGGCAGATTACGCGCCAGTGTCGGCGCAATCGACCCCGTTATGTTGTGTCGCTCGTTTGTTCCCCGAGGGACATTGAAGGGCACGAGGCGGCGGCGGCGCGAAGGAGGCGTGAAAAGCGGGCGCGCCCTCGCGGTGGAGCCGCGCACGAGCGGCACGGGAGCGGCGCCGTGAAGCGCATCGCGCGGCGGCCGCCGCGCGGCTTATCGTCGCCGTGCACGGCCTGCCGGAATCTCCCGTTCCCACGTGCGTTTCACTCCGCCGGTCCCCCGCCTGCCCGGGGTGACACCGCTGTTGGGGTCAAAAACGCCCATCCACAGGCGTTGCTTCGACGGTGCTGCCCCTGGACCCCCCTTTTCAAAGTTGCGTTCGCAGCCCCTGTCGGGGTGCAAGCATTGGCCTAAACAACGCACAAAAAATCCACCGCCAAGGCAACCCCGTGCTCAACATTTGAATTAAGGGCGCGGGGGTTCTGAACACGGCAGCGTTGTCCATGATGCCTGGTGGGCAATTTTACGCCAATGGCGGCAGGGCGCGTGAAGTGTTTGGTCTGCGGACACCAACGACTGCTCCGGGCTGATGGGTCCTCGGGGGCGTCTACGACGGGGCGTCCAAGAGGGGAGTTCGCGAACCATGGCCCGGGGCATGTGCGCGGACGAAGGGGAGGGGCAGGGGGCGCATTGAAGTAAGAAGGGAGGCCATGATATCCAGGGAGATATCTTGACCAAGGCCATGACATACACCCCCGAACGAACGAACGAACGAACCGCTGCTGCTGGAAACACTCGCTGCTGGAAAGCAAACGGCCGTGCATATGAACACCGAGACAACCATGCGTATGAACAAGGAGACAATAAAGAATGACAGAGGAGGGAAGGAGGGGGAGTATGTCCTGGATGTGGATGACGGCACACTGTTGCTACGTGGGGTGCATGCGTTGCCGTTTGAATGTCAACCAGGTGGAAGCGTCTTGAGCATTGCGAACCCAAGTAAGGTCGTGTCGTTGGCCCTTTTGTGGCGGTCGGTCTGGGCGTTTGATGCAGGTCGGGTCTGCTTTGTTGGAAAAAACGACGACATAATTTTCCGAACGCTTGCGTTGCTGGCCACACTGTCGCTGGCCACGTTGGCGCGGGTTGTCTCCTGGTTGCCGATGGAGTGCTCACCACGTCCATCTGGTGGGGTCGTGGTTGGCAACTCTCGACGCCACGCGCCACAACCTCGGTCTGCGAATCGTCTCCCAGTTTGCGACTTGGTGGCGCTGCATAAGCTGTTCTGCGCGCCGCGTTGCTCGTTGGATGTATTCGGCCCATGTATCCATCGTGCCCTCGTCATCGTTGCTGTCGTTGCTCTCGCTGTGCTGGTCAGCTGCGTTTTGATGTGGTGCGTTGCTGTCTGCGCCGTCGCTGCTGTCAATTGCGCCGGGGTTGTCGTCGGAAGCTTCGTCGGTCGCGCCGTCGTCGATTCCGCCGTTCCTGCTGCGAAGGATTGCGCGGTGAGTAGTGCGTCGTATTGGCTTTCTGATGATCACGCGAAGCATGCGTCGTTGAGTTCGTCGCAGGTGCTGCCTGAGTGGTTCCGTGAGCGCCCATGCCTCTGCTCCGCAAAGTGCAGTCGGCGTGACTTTGCCACTGAAAAGTCGATGCCAGCGCGCCAAAGAGTAGTGCCTAGTGGTCAGTTCCTGGTTGCGCGATGTGAACGATGCCCACGCAGCTCTCGCGCGGTTGTGAATGTACGCCCCCATTTCTCGTGGATGCTGATGAGCTGTCCAAGATACTTGATGCTGCCCTCGCGTGGAAGGATGTTGATGTCCATGCCCTGGACGCGCGCTGCGCGCGAGCTCGCTGGTTGCTGAGCATTTTGGCATTGGAAAGGTGCAGCTCGAATCTGCGAGGTTGCGCTGCGCGCGCGATGTCGCCAAGCATCCCAGGGAAGCGCGGGAGTCTGGCTGGCCGGGAGCACGTCGTCGGCGAAACGAAGGTTAGTGAGCGCGGCGGCGGCGGTGAAACCCAGTTGAACTCCTTCGCCCTTCTGTTGCCATTCGACAATTAGCGGCGCAGAGATATGCTGCAGAAGAGCTTTGAAGAGTAGGGAACTGAGCGGGTCGCCCTGTATCGTGCCCCGCAAAGGCCGAAGCGTCTGCTGCTGATGTCAGTCCTGATTGTGGCCGCCAGTCCCACGTACATCTGCTGGACCATTGAAATGCATCCTCGCTGGACTCCTTGCGCCCTGAATGCTGCCCAGACGCTGCCATGCTCGAAGGTGCCAAATACCTTTGCAAAAACCGAGCGACGCGGTCCATAAGTTCCGGTTACATTCGCGCGCGCGCTCTCGGAGGATGCGAAAGGTGAACAACTTGTCACGGTCGAACGCCCCTGTCTGCAGTCTGATTGGTCAGCTGTCTGTCGAGGGGTCGAGAGTTGGTGAGAGTTTGCTGTAGAGCAATGCTCAGAGCAGTCTGCTCAAAAGCTTGCACGGCAGTGGCATCGCGCAGATGAGGCGGTAGTCTCGCGGAAACGCCACGCCCCCACCTTCCGGCACATCGTCTACAACAACGCTCTTCCAGCTGGCCGGTGGCGGAGCGCTGGTCGAAACAAATACGTTGTAAAGGTGAAGAAGTGCCTCTTTGAAGTCTTCTGCGCCTTCTTTCAGCATCTCTGGTCAGAGACCCTTGGTGTCGGGGGCTTGGCCAAGCCAGAGCCATTTTTATCGTTTTGTCCAACTCTGTCCTCGCAAAATGGAAGTTCGTCGCCTGGTCGCTGCTGCTGCGTCGGCTCCGTCGTCGATTTTTAAAGTTGCTCGCGAAACTCTGCACAAACGTCAGCGATGTCTTGTCGCGTCGTGCGCTTCGCACCGTGCTTGTCTGTCATGTGCGCGATGAGGGCCCGCAGTCTGCGTGTCTTTAAGCGCGCGATGCTCTGCAAATCTCTTGAACTGCTCGACTACATCACCTCTGTGAGCTAGTCGTGCCCTCCGCTTTCGTGCGCGGACCTCCTGCTGCATACGTTTGTTCACAGGCGGGCGTAGTGGTCGTTGTTGGGTGTCTGGCGTCGCTGCTCTCGCAAGCAAAGCAGTCGTTCTTATCCTCTGTCAGGAGGTCGGTCTGCTGGTCGATCCCTGGGAATGCTGGCTGCAACGGCGTCGATGAGAACGTTCTGTATATACTCGCTCACACATTGCGGGTCGGATGGTAGCTCTGTTGGATGCAGTCCTGGGCGCAGGTGTTCGTGGTAGATGCTTGCGTTGGTGATTTGACCTGTCGGTCTGGGTGCTGTAAATTTGCGCTGTCGTCGCTCGTCGTCGTGCCGTGACTTTCCAGAAATCTTTGGTTCTGACATATTCAAATCGATGAAAACAGCCTTGTGGTCGGATCCCAGGTCGGTTGCCCAATGGGCTTCAGCGCTAATACACTGCAGGAACAGTTTGCGGCCCAACAACACGTAGTCGAGATGCTTATGTTTGTCTGCGGCCGTGTACGTAATTTGCGTGTGTTCTGGCTAGCATGTGCTGGCGATAATCAAAACCTCGTGCACTGCCCAATGTCTCAACCAAGTGCCTCTTGAGTTTTCGATCCCATATCCGAGGCGGCCAACGCATCTGGAGGTGACGCGGTCGTTGTCGTCGTCGCCGACGTCTTCGGATCTTTTGGATACTCCAACCTGCGCGTTGAAGTCGCCAGCGAGAATCATGTGACGTCGCTCTTAGATGCTCTCTCTCTCTCTCTCTTTCTCGCTCTCTCTCTCTCTCTCTCTCTCCCTCTGCGGATTCCGTGGATGGCGTCGTAAGGAGAAGACCTTCTCAGAAGGCGGCGGCTCTTATTCAGAAGCCCTCGCACGAGGCTCGGGCCCCTCGTGCTTGAGAGGAGGAGGAGGAGGAGGAGGAGGAGGAGGAGGAGGAGGAGGAGGGAGAGGATGGAGGAGGAGGAGGAGGAGGAGGAGGAGGAGGAGGAGGAGGGAGAAGAGGAGGAGGAGGAGGAGAGGACTCCTAGAACTCCTCCGACGGCCGGGGAGCCTCCGAGAGCCTTCCGAGGGCCCGCTTCCCTCCTCGCTTCTCCTCCCCCGGGGCTTGCCGCCGAGAACCGGGCAGAATTTGTTGTGGGAGGTCCGCGTGGATTTCTGGGATCGGCAGCCGCGATCACAAGCAGCCTCCTCCTCCTCCTCCTCCTCCTCCTCCTCTCCTCCTCCTCCTCCTCCTCCTCCTCCTCCTCCTCCTCGCATTTGTGCAGCATGGGCCAGCGGAGTGAGCGAGGCGATTCGACTCGGCGAGCCGCCGTGCGGGCCCTCGCCGTGATGTTACATCTGAGGATAGATGATGACAGGGAGGATGATGGAGGAGAGAGAGAGAGAGAGAAGCATGCATGAGGCATAAGAAGGGTTTCGCCCATTCCGCTAGACCGAAGAGGCCAATTATTAGTAATCAGCCTCGGACACGTAAAGATATGTGTGAAATGCGTCTCCAGGGTCAGGCCCATGTGCGTGACAGGTTCTGCAGCACGTAAGGATACAAGTGATCTGCGCCCCCAAGGCTACAAAAGTCTCGACTCGGCACGCCCCCCACGCACTTCCTTCCCCGCACTACCTTGGGGCACGCAAGAATACGTCTTATGTGCACCCCCAAGCACTGAACGCGAGGCTTTTAACGTGCGAACCAGGCACTGAACGCCCAAGACAAAAATGAAAGCACCAACGATGCAGGGGGAGGCCTAAACAGCAGTCGCCTCCTTGCGTCCATTGGCTTCTGATTGCACATGGGATGTAGCCTTGGTCCCCCTCTCTTCCCTCCTGGCTTCCTCCCGCCTCACCTCCCTTCCTCCGCTTCTTCCTGCTCTACACGATGGTTTTCTTCACCGTCGGGCGCTTTGTTTTTCTGCGTCACAGTCGTGACGCGCTCTACGTTGCGTTTCACAATCGTGATGCGCTTCTTGCTCACGCCGCGCGCTATCGCAACTGGGAGATTCCAGCTCGGACCTGCAGTGGACTCCGATGTTCTCCCCAGAAGGTCTTACCAGGGCACGGCGTCCGACCTTGCATCTGCCAATGCACCGTGTAGGCGCCAGGCTCGACCTGACCTGACCTGTGCGCCCCCAGGGCAACGAAGGCTCCGAATCGGCACACTCCACACGCAGTTCCCTGCCCCGTCCTCCCCCGAAACACGTGAAGGTAGGAGTGATCTGCGCTCCGAGGCCGCTCGACCCCCCACGGGACACCAACATGGCCCCAAGAAACATTGCGATCGGTACCGACGTTCGTCGAGCCAATATCCGTAACACCAATTCAAACCAACATCTGCGTGCAAACTTCCCCCCAGGGGCCTGCTGTGACTCCCGCTCTGCGGACTCAGCGAGCCGTTTTCGACACCTTTGGTTGCCATTTGGGGCCGTTTTCGGAGCCTCCTGGAGCCCTCTTGAGCCCCTCCCGGGCAATCGTTGGCGTTTGGGCGGAAACCCTGGGGCCGTCTTGGAGCCCCCCGTCGCCCTCTTGGACCATTTCAATTGCCCTCCTCTTACTCCACCAAGCCTCCCAAAATCTCCGCGTGTCTAAAAACGTGGGGCGGCGGCGTCTGCCCCCTCAGGGGCGTTCAATTGAATAGCGGCATGCCGATCCAAAACATCCGCGTAGAAGCATGAAGTAGGAAGGCGTTGGAAGTAGGTTGGGCCTCCGCCCGCCCCCTGAAGAGGAGAGAAGAGGGACAACCGATCGACTCTTGAAGTAGGAAAGCGGCTGAAATAGATTGGGATCTAGGCACCCAAAAACACCTACTTCCAACGACTGGCGCGCATTTGTTCCTCGACCTGTTCCTCTCGTCCGCCCCGAGCGCCGCCAGGCAGAGGCCGTGCTTGTTCTTTGTCACGACGAAAATCACCGCCTCCCAGACCTCGCCCACGGCGCCGCACGGGCCCCGCTGCAGCACGACCTCGCCCGCGCGGCGCGAGCAATGTCCACATCCACGCCCTCGCGGTCTGGATCCTGGGGCGCGATCCTGTGGATACGCGGCTGCATGGATACACGCCGGTCGGAGGAAGTAGGTAGAAACATGAAGTAGGAGGGCGGAGCAAGTAGATTGGGTGGAGGCCCTCCCAGAGAATGGCAAAACACAGCTTGAAATAGATTGGAAACCGGGCACCCAAAAATACCGACTTTCAACGAACGACGAGTACGCTCCGCGCGGCGCATGCGCGACCAGAGCGCCCATGTCCCCGGGGACCCAGCTCAAGGGCCCTGCCCCCGAGGCCGTGATTGTGGACACGCGCCCCGCCCACGAGACCCTGGAGGCTCGCGAGCGCACGGCGCGCGGCGGCGGCGGTGGCGGGCGCACCGCCGGCTGGGGACGGAGCGGCGCGCGCGGCCGCGCTGCGGCGGCAACCAGGCGCAGCGCCACCCTCTCGTCCAAGGGCCGCGCGCCGCTGCCAGGGCGCTCCGCCAGCGCGGGGCGCGCGACCGAGCGAGCCCGCGCCAGCCCTCGGGCCACCGAGCGCGCCAGCAACCGCCCCAGCGAGCGCGCCGGCGGTGGCGCACGAGCGGCGGCGTGCCGAGTCGGCGGGGCTGCGTCCGAGGGCCCTTCGCTGCTGCGCCCTCCTGCCCGCACAGCGTCCGCGGGCTCCGCGGGTACGGGGCCCGGCGCACGAGGGCGGCTGCGCGAGCGTGAGCACGCGCCCGTCGCCGGAGTCTTCAGCGGCGGGACGATCACAAAGTCCCTGACCTCCATGGAGCCTGGCAGCGCCACGACGTGCACCAGACGAGCTCGGCGTTTCACGTCAAGGCTCAGGAAGCCCTGGTTCTGCACGCTCAGGATTTTCGCCAGCAGCCACAAGCCCGCTTTTCTGCTCCAGTACAGCACCCGACCGCCCTCGGCGAAGCTGGCGACAGTGCCGGCACATGGCTGGGAGGTGGGCAGCTCACTGGGAATGAGGTGCAGCCTGGAATCCAGGAGCAGGGGCCCCAACTCGCGAGTGCGCCTGTGCTCGTCCCAGCGCTCCTTGACGCACTGGCAGGAAACGCTGCCACTCGTCAGGTCCCGCCTGCGCCGCTCCGCAGTCTCCCAGCCTCTCTGCAGAGTGCGCCAGGAGGCCTCGTCCCAGGAGAGATCGAGCTCGTAGGCGAGCCCGTACAGCGTGGAAGTGTCCTCGAAGGGCCAGTGGTGAACTTAACCCTCGCCCAGACCCACCTGCGGTGCACCTTGCTCCAATATCTCACAGTATCGTTGACGGCGTGGTCAGTGCAACCGAAGGCGTCCTTCGCTGGCCCCATTCCACGAATAGACCGATCGCACTCGCTGCAAATCGCATGACTGGGGCAAAGGCTCTTGCTGTGCCTGGGCCGCGACCTCTTTGAGCCGAGTGGCTACGGAAGAGGGTGTTGAAGAGGAGATGGAGAGCAGGACCTCCCCATGTGAACTTTGAGCTTGTCGTTAAAATTTCGACTCCAAGTTCGCCGACCCCCAGACTACCAGCGTACGCGACATCTTCCATCCCCATACCCTCTTCGCAACTTGTATGACCTGACCCCTCTCGACGCGGCCACAGCTGGATTATGGATTTGGATTCTGGATTAGACCTCTTCATCTCGCCCCTATGGATCGCCTCTCATTTTCGCAATTGCTGGTGGGGGGCGCACGGACAGTGGCGGCCGGAAACGAGCGCGGGAGCCAAAGGGAGCCCCCGAGACGGCAAGACGAGCTCGAGACGCCACTTGAGAGCGCCAAGAAGCTCGACCTGAAGATTACTAACTATCCGCGCTTCTCGCTCCTCGACGACGCTTCCCATCATCCGTCACCTCTCGGCCAAAGGCAATCCGACACCACACAATGTGCAAGTTCTCTTGAAGTCATGGAATTGGCCTTGGTACACTGTGCACGCTTCTCGTTCCTCGAAGACGCTTTCGTCCGCCGACCTTTTTCGGGTCGCAAAACGGTCGGTTGAAATTACGTCCTACCCCCACCCTGCAGCCCGCCCACACTCCTCCACCGGACCCAAAATTGCGCGACGGGGGGGCGGTGGGCGCGGCTGACTGGGGGCTGCGGGTTCGGGCTAGGCCGCTAAGACTCCAGGATCGCTCCAAATAGCTCAGAAAGGGTGCCCCAGGGAAGCCCGAGAGGGCCAGAAAATGCTCCAAGAGGGCGTTGACACGGCCCAAGAACGCTCAAGGAAGCCCCCGCGCGGCTCCAAACACACGTCCAGGACGCCCTCAAGACGATCCGCCGAGACGCGTCCAAGTGACTCCAAGGGCTTCTCGAGGACGCACTCAAGACGCTCCCACCAAACGATGACGTCGTCC